ACTACTACTACTACTACTACTACTACTACTACTACTACTACTACTATTAAAAATAATAATAATGATAATAATAATAATAATTTTAAAAAATAAAATAATAATCATAATAATAATCATAATAACAATAATAATAATACATTAAAAATAATAATAACAATAACAGACATACATGCATATAACGTTCAACTCGGAATAAAGATCACACGCTCTGGGCGTATTTACAAAGAAAAGTAGCAACGTATAAACAATACATTGCATCCTGACTAAAAATTCTATATTATATCTGAGTCATCTAAAATGAGAAATGCTTTGACCAAAAACGAAAAAAATATACTAATCAAACCGAACATGTAAAAGGAGCTATTCCGTATATGAGTTAGGGTAACTCCTAGCTTTTTCCAAACGACAAGAAAGTACATGTATTTAATTTCTATGTTGGGAAATGACTTTTTATTGTGGAGCTAACAACGAAAGAACAACAATAACGCCAGAAAAAAAGCCGAGAAGGACAAAACCCAGAAAGATAGGAGATAAGACTCACTTTTTGAATAGGTTGGTTAATGGGGGATGGGGAAGGGAAGGGGCTGATGGAAGTATAAACTGAAAAAGGGGTCGATGGCAGGATTACCTTACAGGTGGATTAAATGTCTAGGAGGCTGAAGTATGGATCTGTAAATAATGGTTTGGAGGGACAGTAAAAATGGAAAGACAAATTATGCGCTGACAGAAAACTTACCACAGAATCAGAGTACTCTCCCAATTCCTCGAGACTAGGGAAACTGCAAGATGTGGACACAGACGGAGATTTGTACGGACCTGTGTCTGAAAGCAAGACAAAATTGCATTTTTAATAGACTGTCTAATTCATGTCAAATGCCTGATGCTGACTGCTGTTACTAATTATGGTGTTTCCAAAGGTTGTTCTTGCCTTCTTGTTCAGTGGTCTTCTTTTTTTTCGTAAACTTTTTGAGTATTTAATGGTGATGTAGAGCCTGTACAGCACAGTCTCTAATCACTCTTGCATTTATGCATTTTGCAAGGCCATTTGAGCCAGTGTATTTATGTAAGAGAGTAGAATAAGTGACGGAAACGAAACCAACCATGCCTTTGTTATGGACTGCTAAATTAACATTAAGTGCTAGTGTTTGTTATTCCCATCGGAGAAGACAGTGCCGACATACTGTGTGTTACTTATAAATTTAAAGTATCAATTAGGATTATAGCATTTCAGGTACCTGGACTTAAATGATGATGAGGAAGTTGGTGAGTCCCCGAGAAAGGATCACTTTTGTACGGCCTGTCCTTTCTGTCTCGTCGCCTTCTCTCTCGCTCATCTGACGTCAGTGCAGACACGTCTGAAGTAGACCTCAACACTGCAGTCTTGAAACAGAAATTCACACGGTGAGATGTTGATATTATTGTTTTTTCTAAAATCTCTCAGTAAATTTCTATATGTATTTCCAAGATAACAGGAAAAATGAGCCATTTGGTATGTGAATGCGTGTGTGTATGTATGTGTGTGTGGGGGTGCAAAAGAGTGTTTGTGTGTGTGTGTGCGTGTGTTTGTTTACGTTTGTGAGTGTGTTTGTGTGTCCATTGTGTGTGTGCTTGTGTGTAATGGGTGCTTGTTCGTGTATATGTCCCTGTATGTCTCTCTCTCTCTCTCTCTCTCTCTCTCTCTCTCTCTCTCTCGTTCTCTCTCTCTTTGGGTGTGTGTGTGTGTGTGTGTGTGTGTGTGTGTGTGTGTGTGTGTGTGTGTGTGTGTATGCGCGTGCGTGTGTCTTTATATAATTATATCGACTTCCAACCACCCTCAAATAAAAAAACAACAACTTTTAAGGCAACACAACAAGTTAGGACAGCTGGAACCAACCCTCAACTTTATAGATCTAAAGAGTCGTCCAACTATTTTTTTGAAAATCCTCCCCACTCGTCCAACAATTCACATCGTCATTAAGGGCTTTCCAGCAACTTACAAAATATCTACAACGCTTTCTAACTGTACGTACCTTTCAGAACTGTCTCGAAGTAACCATGAGCTACGATGTACGGTCTCCAAAGTTCTCATACATATTCTGAACACTTTCTCTTTGTCCACAAACGTCTTGCGCTTCCAGCAACATAATTATGGCGACATAAATCATCCTCTAACCACCCACGACTTTATAGAAGAAGAGAACCCTCTATTAACTCATTAACTGTTATCCCATAACTCAGGCTCCCATTCTTCTCTTTTTGCCGGTAGTTTTCTATTGTTCTGTAGCCCTTCAGACCTTTCCATGTCTATCTCGAAAGAATTTATTTTTGTTCATTTTGAAATACTTCAAAATAAAAGTGGAGGAAGAAAGAGGATAACAAACAAAAATGTGGTGAGTAAATTTTAATGAGTAGAAATTTTAAAAAATTGGCTTTCTGAATCTTATTTTCTGACTACCCACCTTGTTCGATTGGTCACTATCGGAGTTGGAACTGGTCGGGCTTCGTCTCTGTGGCGTCAACTCGGCGTTACTGAAACTGTCACTGTTGGCCACATCGTCACTGAGCTCTGACGTCATATCCGAGTTGGGGGTTGGAGTCACAGATGTGTCGCTACTTCCACTCGAAGAAATGTTTCTTTGGCTAGTACTTTCGGACACAAGGAAACAAGATGAGGCATCGACTGCAGGGGGCGTGTCAGGTTGTTTCTGGGTTTCTTCAATACAATCCACATCAGAAACACCAGACAGCATCTGGTCTGTGTCATTATGGGAAGTTTGCAACAGAACATCTTTCTCTTGATCAATGACAAAACCTAAGCTTCCTACAAGGGCAACATTAGGCGGAGACAATCTGTCGACGCTCTCAACACTTATAGGAGATTGACGATCGCCGAGGGCAAAGCTCGAATGTTGAGAGGCAGAGTCCAATTCTTCACTGTCAAACATGTCTGCTTCTCTATCTCCTTGAGGTCCAGTAACTATAGAGGGCACATTGGCAGCAGTTTCGTTAGGAGGTGGAAAATTGGGTACTTCGTTACCCGGCTGACTGCTTTCGTTCTGGCTATTTTGAGAAGAACATTTTGTGGTGTTTTCATGACAGTCCCGACTAGAGTTTGTTTCCGGAGTGCTGTGTCCACAATTCAGAGTGTGTGGTTTTGACTTGTTCAAAACGTTTAACGACACCGAGCGTCTGTACAGAACTGGCCTTGCAAGAACCGACTGGCTCTTTTCTTCCAACAAAGCTTCGGTGATATCAATAGGTTTGACAATAGCGGGATGGTCGATGGGAATCTGGGTATTTGGCGTTTTTTCTGTTTTGCTTGAAAGATCTCTGCAGCTTTTGGAACTTGGACCCATGGGTGGTTCCCTAGTTGAACTTTCACTAAATTTGCCGAGTGCCAAAGACTGCGGCTTTTGCAATGCTGTAAGGTCGGGACTGCTACTAGCATGACTGGACGTAAAAGTATCCTCTTTGAGGAGAGCAGCTTTCATGCCTGTTGACGACTTAGATCGGTGGAGAGGCAGTTTGCTTGTGTCGAGTGCAGCGAAGAAGGGCACGTCATCAGGTGTGATGGTGATGTCTGGATGTTGGAAAACAGGAATCTTGTTTTGTGTCGTGTCATCTACCATAAGTTGGTCTCCACTGCACATGTCGGAAATCGTCGTTGCAGATAGTTCCAAAGTAGGAGAGGTTATCACTTTACAGTCAACATCATCTTCTTCAATAACGTAGATATCGCTGAAATGATCAGGGGCCATCTCTCGTTCAGATGATTCGCTGTCTTTGCCTTGGGAAGAATCCCTCGGGGTTCGTTGACTTTTAAACTCTCTAAAACTCGGAATGTACATTCTTCGTCGCTGATGTGGAGAGTCTGTTGCACCCGCTGGCGTTTGGTTTGTTTCTTCAGAGTGTTCAGGAGCCTCTGATTCTACATTTGATGGTTTGCCTCTTAAGCTCATGGACGTCGCTGCTTTTTTTAACACTCGATTTCCATGGCGTGGTCTGTGGGAGGCAAACTCCTGGCAACTGCTAGAAACTTGTATACTGTTATGTCGGTCATATAATGACACACTCCGTGATATTGAGGTCCTGCGAGCAGACTGATGGTCATCGCCGATGTGCTTTGCTTCACTGTTTTCATCATTGTTGTGGTCGCTGTTGTTGTTGATGTCGTTCCCACTGAGTAGCTCGTTCACAACGTTTCCCATATCAAGTGATTGCGTGGTGCTGAGGTCGAAATTGGACAGAGATTTTCTCATTCCCCTTTTGTGAGAGCCAAAAACTCTCCTCTCTAGGATGCCTGCGTGTTTGGCTAGATGCTTTTTGAACAGTTCATTACACAAAAGACTTTGGACTCGCCTTGATTTTTCTCGCCTACCCTTTGCCTCACTCCGAGATGACTTGATGCTGAACTCAGAATCGATGGAACTAATCGAGTCACTTCTTTGACGCCCAGGTGGATGCAAGTGCTCTTTGTTTTCTTCATAGTTCTGATTTTCTTCACAAGGGCTACATACCTCGTCATTATCAACTGTTTCCAATGTTTCTTTATCAACCATCACTTGAGGCGAGATATTGGCGTCATGATCACCCGCGAGAAGTGTTTGTTGTTCAAAAGATTCTTTTGTTGCACACGTTTCGGTGTTTCTTGAGCCACCAGAAATATCGAGGTCAAAGGCCTTTTGTGTCTCCAAGATGGATTCATTTTCTTCTACCTCCACCAAATCTCCGTCGTGTGTTTTCTCAGAATCATAAACAGTAGTCTTAAACTTGTGTAAAACAGGTTTTGTTGGTATTCCACAGTTGCTGAACTCGTCGTTAGTGCTAGTCATGCCAGGCTCTGCAAGCACCAGGGGCACCTCCTTCTCTATCAACGAATCAGAGTTGCTGTTACCTATTGCTGAATTTGTGATATCAGGTGTTTCATTAGGTAGAGACTGTACACTAGTAATGTCGTCCGTTTCTGTGACAGTTTCAGGTGAACTTGACCCGCTCTCAAGGGAGGCGCTATTGCCATTTGCCTGTCTTGTGACTTTCTTACTATCGAGATGTTTGCGGACTGAACTCAAAGTTCTCTTAACGCTTGCTGAAAAGGTGTGTGATGATCGACTTAGTCCAGGGCACTCAGGGATAATGTTCTTCTTTGCAATAAAATCATTGTCTGTAGAGTCTATGGAAGAAGGATCTTCAGAACATACAATGTTTATTGCTGGTATTGCACTGCTGTTTTCGGGTTCAGAATGTGAAACGGCTTCATCTAGCTCTTCAGAAGAGACAACAACATCCTCATCACCTATTGATGTCTGAATATACGTTTTCGATTCCTGCTCAAGCGCAACTGAGGATAGGATAGGACCGACCGGTTTCGCTTGGTCTCGCTCATAACTGGTTTGGATGTTCGAAGTGGAAGAAACATTCTGCAGAGATGACGAAATGCTACTTGGAGCAAAAACATCATCGAGAGATGTATCATCACCACTATCAGGGTTTTTAGAAGAAATTCTAAAATGAAGCTCATCGTGTCCCTGGGATAAAGAACGAACAGTGTCATTTAGAACTCCGGAGCCAGATATGGGAGAATCTGTAATGTTCTCCTCTCTGAACGAAGATTGTGAGGAAGTAGAGTTTGCGAGATTGTCTTGCTGGATATCCGTCCCACTGCCATGGCCGAATAGCTCAGGAGAACTTGTATGTGTTTGCTTCAGTTTTGATAAACTTCCTATACGTGTGGCATGGGCGTTTCTTTTATTTACGTTTTCCTGAGCTTCGGGTGATACAGCTAAGTCAAGCTCCCCATGGCCTTTTATGTGATTGAGACAGGGAGAACTCCTGCACAGAGAGGAGTGGTTTGTAGCATTACCTTCAAATAGCGCTCGAGAAGAATCCTTCTCTCTTGGTTTTGTGAAACTTAGCAGACTAGCGATAGATTCCCTTGCCTTGGCAGCTTGTAATCTCCATGTTGATTTACTTTTTGGCACGCTCTGGGTTCTTCTTTTAACCTGACTGGTTGTGGCCCAGTAGTCTATGATTTTGCTATGTCTACTTTCAACAATAGTCTCCTCAGACCAAGCACTTTTTACATCAGCTGAGGGTTCAATCTCCTGGTGCTCGGTGACGTCATCTTTTTCGAGAACTGATTCCGGACTGTGAATAGTTTGGGTTATGGACGTAATTTTGCCTTCACTATCAGTCGGGATATCTTCTGTGTGAACCACAAAAGGGTCACTTGTTACGTACCGTTGAAAGACGTGGGCAGCTATGGTTGATGATTCTTCCTCATCATCTGATTGCACAATTTTTCTCGCATCCGCAACTGAATCTCTTCGAGATCGGTCCGACCTTGGACTCGAATCATACGACAAATCTGGAGAGTTTTCGTCTTGGAAACTTCTTGAAACTTCACAATAAGGTACACATGATACTTCAGAGCATGCCCTATCAGTGATTTCTGGAAGCGCATCCCTCCTTTCGATTTCACCCTTGCTAGAATCGTCGGATGAAGGCGAGGAAAAACTTTGTCTTCTTGTCCTGGGTGAGAAGTCAAGTTTTTCAGAACTTCTCCAACGTCGTGCTCGGGCGTCCAGTTCTCTGAATTGGGTAGACGTCTTTCTAGGGTGACTCCCGGATACCACTTCGGTGGTAAGATACCCTGAAACGTTGCCAATGCTCGAGTAGTCTCCAGGAGAACAATCTACTCGCTGGACATGAACACCAGTGTCCTGGTGAGTCTTTGCATCGTACGTGGACTCAATTTTATGCCTGCTAGGCTGACCTCCGTGAGCAGAGGCGGGTCGTCTCTGGATGCGGTTGAGGCACAAGTCGTTAGCTCGGGGCGTCATGCCAGACCGGACATAACGCCGTGATCTCTCAGGACTCGAGCTTGATTTAGGACAGGATTTTGGGGGCTTAGAACTGTAAGGTAAAACCCCTTTTGTTCTGTTGTTTGGAGATCCAGCGTAAGATTTTCCAGCTGCTATGGTCTCTTGTCCAACTTCAATGTCTTCTGCTGAAGGCAAACTTGAGTTCAAAACCGTAGATACATTATTTAAGGAATCAGGCTGTGATGGGGCCAAATGTCCATAGTCAGTACTGCATGAATCGGTTTGAGCAGAGCACTGAGTATTTTGGGCGATAGCCCCCATCCCTGGCTCCATGGTTTGAATTGGAGGTCTCTCGACCTCAGTAAACTCTGTCTCGATCATGGCAAAGGAAAACCCCCACTTAGAAGGGCTACCTTGGACGGCTAAGACTCTGACATCCGGAAGTCAGTGTTGATCGTCTCTGAGGGCTGATTTGTTACATTTCTCTGACGTCACACCTTATTCAGGTTCTTACTCACACAGCGCCAAAAGTCTAGGTTGATGAAATGCAGATATCTCTGACTTTTCTATCAGCATTCAAGCATCTCAGTATCCTGGGAAGGAGAAATTAATTTAAAAAACATGAGAAATTTATCTTTTTTAATATAGTAGAGGGTTTTACGGCGCTCGCAACTGCATAAGGTCATATGAGCGCCAAGGGGTGGGTGTCAACAGAGAAGTCTTTACAGGGAATCAGACTTAGACTGCTCACCTCTCTAGCTTCAACAGCACAAGGTCTGCTTCGACTATCAAGGCACCCCAAAATAGCAAGTCACAAGGGAGTGACAAACATACAAAAGAAGTAGAGGAAATGACAATAGTAAGGCTCAAGAAAGAAAAAGCAGCAGTTCCCTGTTGTAGATCAGGCACAGTTATGAGCGTGACATGAGTCAGCCCATTTACAATTCTACTATGCTTGAACGAGATATGTCCCCCCCTTTGGGAATGGCCCAAAGACACTTCAGTCAGTGGCACTGCCCCGGGGGGTTAGAAATTTATCTATTTTATTTGTTTGAACACCTATCCCTAAGTGACTTCATTAGAGACAATAAAGAGTACTTAGACAATTTTACGTAACCCTACTTAAATTCTAAGAGGAGAACGTATTTCCAAAACTAAATTTTCTTTAATTTTTTACTGAGTCAAGGAGGAGAAAGTCAGCAATGTTGTGAATATCATTGATAGATAGATAGATAGATAGATAGATAGATAGATAGATAGATAGATAGATAGATAGAAAGAGGGAGAAAAAGAGAGAAAGAGTGAGAAAAAGAGAGAAAGAAGGAGAAAAAGAGAGAGGGAGAGAGAGGGCGGCGGAGATTTGGGGTGAGGGCAGAGAAAGAAGTAGAGAAAGCGGGAGGGTAAAGAGATAGAGACACTCGAACAGGTATGTGTTTGTGTGTGTATATATATATATGTGTGTGTGTGTGTGTGTGTGTGTAAGTTGGAGAGAGAGAAAGAGAGAGAGAGAGAGAGAGAGGGAGAGAGAGAGAGAGAGAGAGAGAGAGAGAGAGAGAGAGAGAGAGAGAAAGAGTGAAAGAGTGGGAGAGATATAAATATACAGAAAAAAGAATACGGTGACGAAGAGGGGGACATAATTAAATACACGGACAAAAAAAATGAAAGGCAGGTAACTTAGTAATTAGATGTTGCCTCCGTCGAAACAAATCTAACTGCATACTACTACAATGAGAAGAGATTGGGAACAATAAACGAAAATCCTATAAAAAGTTTCATTCGCTTTACTCTTGGACAGTAAAAGTAAAGTTGTCCCGAATCTGATCCGGACATTGGGGATTGCCTTGTTAGTGAGACAACTTCCTGGGTTTTCGGCATGTTGTGATAGGCTGGCCAGTTCCTTTCCACGCTGCCTTTACTTCCCCAACTCTCGGACAGCGTCGAAGAAGTATTCACTCATGAACCAAAGCAAGTAAACGCTTGAAAATGCCATTTTCAAGTATAAATGGGTGGGGCTCAAATCGATGACCTACTTTCCTGCGCGCGTACACAAACACACTCTTGCAAACACACACTCTCACACACACACGTACACACTCACACACATAAAACACACACACACGCGCACACATACACATGTACATGCACACATATGCACGACCCCCCCCCCCCCCCCGCTCCTGTCTACCCATACGTGCCTTTGTCCGGCCCAAATAAACAATGACAACCTTTTCAATTCAGTGTAAAGTAAGAAAAACAAAGAGTGATACAATATTGTATTTTGATTGTATTGACCTTACAAGTGCTTTTTTTTCTAGTAAGCAGTTTCTTGCACGCAATTTCCATGCTGCGTGTCTCGTTTTTCTTTGTGCCATGTTGCTTTATCTATAAACACGTAACCTTTATTGTTTCCAAATGCACGTTATTCGTTATTGTCCTTTTAACTAAAAAACAAAACAAAACTAGTTTTCTACTACCACCGAGTCGGTGGACTGATGAACAGAATAGCGTCCATTCCGCTACGAAATTCTCCACCCACCGAATAGAAAACATCTAGTAGAAGTAGTTGGCCAACAACTCCCGAGGTAAACCTCTCTACAACAATTCGATTGTCGATTGTCCTTACAATACCTCGGCATTCACGGGGGTTTTCTCGTACGTGGGTGGGCCGACTAATGACCGAGGGTATGCCAATCTGTTATGGTTTATTAATATTGTATGACGCACACCCCACACGGGGAAGTTACACAAGGGGAATGGCACTCCCGCGTTTAGTCAAGAGCCGATGAGAGCAATGAACTGCACTGTGTTATCCCATAATTATTGAGTTCGGCTGAGAAAATATTTGCCTTTGGTCACTGTGATTTATATCCGTTCTTTTGTCATTATCTGGATTGTTTGTCTGTTGTCTGTCTGTCTGTCTGCCTGACTGTCTTTGCGTTTACCTGTCAGTCTGCCAGTAGTTCCCTCTTTTTCTCTCTCTTTCTGTGACTCTTTATTTCTCTTCATTTATCTATTCGAACATTCATCCGTTCTCCCAAACCAACGTCTTCCTCCACCTACCCCCCCCAACTCCCCTTCA